GGGGGGGCGGGGAGGGGAGGGGAGAGGAGAGGAGGAGGAGGAGGAGGAGGAGGAGGGGAGGAGGAGGAGGAGGGCGAGGAAGGACAGGAGGAGGAGGAGGAGGAGGAGGAGGAGGAGGGGGAGGAGGAGGGGAGGAGGAGGAGGAGGAGGAGGGGGAGGAGGAGGAGGAGGAGGGAGGAGGGAGGAGGAGGAGAGGAGGAGGAGGAGGAGGAGGAGGAGGAGGAGGAGGAGGAAGAGAAGGGGAGGGAGGAGGAAGGAGGGAAGGGGGGCGGGGCGAGGGAGGGAGGAGGCCGTGAGGAGGGAAGATGGGGAGGGCTTGGGACGATTTTGGGCGGGTCCTGGAGGCTCTAGTGGAATCAAGGCTTCGATGCAATCTGGGGGGGCCTGTTGCGGAGGCGGACGACGGTGAGGAGGGGGAAGAGGTGGAGGAGGGGAGGAGGAAGATGCAAATGAGCGCCTCGTAGCCTGCGCAAGAAAAGTAGGAGGCAGAGGACGGGCAGGATGAGGGGCAGGAGGAGGGCAAGCACGGCCGCTGGCGGCCTTCGGCGGCCTTTCCTCGTCTCCTCTCCTATCCTATCGACCTCGCCTCTCCTCTTCCCGAAGAGAGATGGTCGGGTTAGTTTGTTTCAAAGCTTTTCGCTGTTCTTTCGGGCGCCTGCAGGGGCTTCCAAGGGGCCTCCAGGGGCCTCCAGGGACCTCCGGGGCAATCTGAAAACCTCCGGGAGACATCCGGGGGCCTCCCGGGCCCTCGGATCTGGGCGCCGTGATGACAACTTGGAGTTTCGTCTGTTTCGTTTCGGGCATCGGAGCCCTGGCACATCGGTCTGGCTCGGGCAACTGACGCACCAGGTCGGTTCGGGAGCTCCCTTGGTCGTGGTTTTGTCACGGCGTAGCCTTCTTTGTCCCCACGTCGGACGTCTGGGGGGAGGCTGCCTCTTGTGGCAGTCGTGGGCCAACTCTGGCCACCCTGGTCCCTCGTGGAGGCCATCTTGGAACCAGCTCGAGGCCATCTCAGGCCATCTTGGGGCCCGAACCGCCAGGAGACTCCTCCTCCTCCTCATCATCATCCTCCTCCTTTTCCTCCTGCTCCTGCTCCTGCTCCTGCTCCTGCTCCTCCTCCTCCTCCTCCTCCTCCTCCTCCTCCCACTCTTCCTCCTCCTCCTCCTCCTCCTCCTCCTCCTCCTACTCCTACTCCTAATCCTACTCCTCCTCCTTCTCCTCCCCCTCCTCCGGGATGGAGCCCGGCGGCAGACGAGAAGCAAGGGGAGGAAACGCTCGAGAGAGGCGAGAGCGGCGGCGCGGGATGAGGTGGGAGAGGACGCGGAGGCGACGAGTGGAGGGGCGCGGGGCAGGGGGCGGCGCGGGCGAGGGGCAAGGGGGGCCACGAGGGGAGGGAGGGAAGAGAGGGGGGGAGGGCAAGCCAGGGGCGCTCGCGGCATATCTCGCGTCCTGCCCCTCCCTCCCATCTCATACCGCGGCGTAGATCTCCTCACTGTTCGCACAATCGGATGTCGTAGCATGGCATGGCATTCATAGCAGCGCATGGCATAGCATGGTGTTGAAGATCAACGTGTCTCATGACATAGCATGGCGTGGCGACGCCCCAAAGTGTGTGTGTGGGGGGATCTTCTGCAGCCAAACAAATCAGCGAATCGACACCGAATGTGGAATCACTTCCGATGGTTTTCCGGGAAGCCATTTCGGGAAACTATCTTCCGATGTTTTTTGGGCCTGTTTGAAAGGACCAAAAACCATGCCGTGGCATGGCACTGGAAATAATGAGGCCAGCGCTGCAGCGGGAGCACGATTTGGAACAAGCGGAAGCGAGGAAATGAGGCCAGCGCTGCAGCGGGAGCACGATTTGGAACGAGCGGAAGCGAGGAAATGAGGCCAGCGCTGCAGCGGGAACACGATTTTGAAAAAACAAGCGAAAGCCGGGAATCCTGTGAGTGAGAGAACAGTACGCGGAGGGGGGCCGGATATCTTCTGGACTTCATCAGGGGAGTGGTATTCATATTGTGTAATTGTGAACGGGACGAAGAACGAGTGAGGGTAAGGAAGGCTTCCTCCTCCTCCCACTCCTCCTCCCCCTCCTCCTCCTCCTCCTCCTCCTCCTCATGTTCCTCCTCCTCCTCCTTCTCCTCCTCCTTACCTTCCTCGCCCTCCTCCTCCTCCTCCTCCTCCTCGTCCTCCTCTCGCTCCTCCTCCTCCCCCTCCTCCTCCTTCCCCTCCTTCTCCTCCTCCTCCTGCTCCTCCTTCTCCTCCTCCTCCTCCTCCTCCTCCTCCTCCTCCTCGTGTGGGGGATAACCAAGTGAATGAGGCGGAGACGGCAGGACTATTCAGGAAGAGCAAGAGGAGGATCGGGCGCGGGAGAATGGAGCGGCGTGGGCAGACCCAGCGGCCGCGGTGAAACCACAAGGAAGGGATGAACATGAGGTGGAAGACCTCTCTGCCTCCGTCCCATTCCTGTCGGCACTCTCCTCCTTCCTGCCCCCCTCCGCCAGCTCCCCAGACCTCCGGCGTAGATTGATTTCTCCCTCCGCGGGCCCCAGAAGTATCGACTGCTGTCCCATCATGTTACGTCGTAAGACAGAGTTTAGGATCCTGGGAATATGTATATATATATATAGAGAGAGAGACATCTAGAGAAAGTATGTAGGATCCTGGGACCCAGGGAGGTATAGATTGAATATATCCTGGGACCCAGGGAGGTCGAGCTTAGGAAAATAAAAAGAGAAAGTTGTGCACGTAGCCACTTCTGCGTCGTTTCTCCTTCGTCCCCGAACATATGGCCGACTGACCATCGTGGGTCCTTGGGGGTCCCCCGTATGATGGCGGACAGCAGAATCAGAAGAAGAAACAACGCCATAAACATAAACTGTTGGCGCTCCGCTCGGATTTCTTGGATCTGCGCTGGGCCCCCCCTCCCTGGCGCGCGGAGCGCGCCGGGGGCGGCGCCAGAGTCGCTGACAGGGGGGCCCAGCGCAGATCCAAGAAATCCGCGCGGAGCGCCAAAGGATTATGCTTGCGTTTCTTCTTGTTCGAAGCAGAAGTAGCCTGGCGGAGGGCCCGAACCTGTGAAGCTGCGTGCAGCGCAGGCCGCGCCCCTTCCTGTCGTGAGCTGCGCGCCGCGGGGCAGTGCGGATGTTGGGCCTGCGAAGCAGGCGGGCAACAAGGAGGCGCTCCAAGTCCTCAACAAAGGGGGCGGTCCGCGTACAGGCGCGCCCGTGAAGGCCCTATAGTTGGAGCTCCCTGTGGGGCACGGTCCGTCTGAGGGGTGTACCGACTTGGGTGGTGGGCTTGTGTTCCACCGCCACCACCATACGTAGGAGGGGGGGGGTCCTCCTCCTCCTCCTCCTCCTCCTCCTCCTCCTCCTCCTTTTTCTCCTATGGTGGTGGGGTGAAAAACAGGCCCATCACTGGGTGATGGCAGAATCCACCCGCTAGGCCCGCAGGGGCCCTGCAGCGCGGCTCCCTGTGGGGCACGGCCTGCGCGAGGGACGTGCCGACTCGGGCGGCGGCGGTGCGTGCGGCCCCGCCCGCTGGGCCCGCAGGTGGAGCCTCCCCGTGGGGAGCGATCCGCGCAAGGGGTGCGGCGACCGGGGCGGGGCGGCGCCGTGCGAGCCAGGCAGCCGGTGCTCCAGGTGGAGCTCCCCGTGGGGCACGCAGCGCGTGAGGTGCGTGCGTGCGCGCCCGCGGATGCGACAGGTGGAGCCCGCTATACGGCGTACGGCCCGCGCAGAGGGCGTGCCGACATGGCCGGGGGCCCGCGGGCGGGCGCACTTGTGGTGCTCGATCCGTGCGAAGAATAGGCGAGCGTGCCAAAATTGGCGGGCGGGGGGGCGCATACGGGCGCCCTTGCTGGTGCCACATGCGAAGCTGCCTATGGGGCACGATTCATAAAACAAACATGCACAGGACATGGGCCCGCATGCGGGCGCACTTACAGTCGGGGCGTTGACCTAAGGAACCCTGAATAAGGAACGAGGCCCCTTTTTTCCATAAGTTAACCTTCGATTTCCTGTCGAAAACATATGGGACACCTGAGGCAAGCTGTGAAACACTTAAGGAACGCGGAGCCCCTCCACAACGAAAAGGGTTCCTTCTTCAAGGCCCCGACTGTACTGGGGCTGTAGGTGGAACTGCCTATGGGGGACGATCCGTGTGAAAAGAATACCGACATAGGCGGGGGACCGTCCGCGGGCGCTCCCGCTGGGGTCGTGGGCGGAGCACCCTGATAGTGGGGGGCACGAAGCGTGTGAAGAATGTGGCGAGCTGTGCGGTGCGCGGCATGCGCTCGCGCGCACTGAGACCGCAGGCAGACGAGAGGGAGGCGGGGGACGAAGGAGGAGGGAGACGGGAAGGAGATGATGCGCGGCGCTGCGGAAAGAAAACAATGGCCCGACCAAGAGAAGGGTTGAGAACAGGAGGAGGAGGAGGAGGAGGAGGAGGAGGAGGAGGGATGGAGAGATGGCGCCTGGCGCTACGCTACAGAGAAAAAAAAGGAACCAGCAACACAATGTGGTTGTAAAACACGGAGGACGAGGGTTCGGAGGACGAGGGTAGGAGGAGGGCGAGGAGTAGGAGAGTAGGATGACGAAGAGGAGGGAGCGCAACTTATGAGGAGGGGGACGAGCACGTATTGCGAAGTGGAGGAGAAGGAGGAGGAGGACGAGGAGGAGGAGGAGAAGGCGGAAGACGAGGAAGAGGAGGACGAAGAGAGTGCTGACGCCAAGTAACCAACGATGGGAAAGGGGATGAGTGATGAATCCGCAACGGAAGCAGCGGAGGCGGCCCGCAAAATCAGCTTGCTCCCCATGCCGCTCACCGCGATGCCTCCCGAATCTAGAGCCGATCGCGGCCCCCACCGTGCGCAGATCTCCCGTTCAGAGCCGCGCCGAGCCAGGTGCCCTGCACCCCCTGGACGACGTGGCCGCAGCCTTCCGGATCCGACCAGCGCTCGGAGTGCACCCGGGGCGGGAGCCGATCGCGCTCCCCCTCTACCGTGCGCAGATCTCCCGCAGGGCCGTGCGGACCCAGGTGCCCTCCACCCCCTGGACGAAGTGGCCGCAGTCCTCTGGGTCCGGCCGCCGCCGCGAGTGCACCCGGAACCCCGCCGCCCTCAGCCGCTGCTCGGAGTGCTGCGCCCAGCGCCAGCGCACGACGTCGTCCTGCGGCTCGTGGAAGAAGTGCAGGGGCGTCGCCTGCTGCGGGCCGCCGGGCGCCACGGGGGTGCAGCCGAGCACGTGCCCCACGACGCCGACGAAGCCGCCGAGGGCCTGCGGGCACGTCAGCGCCGCGTCCAGCGAGGTGCAGCAGCCCTGCGACTTGCCGCCCAGGATCACCCTGTCGTGCCTGCCGCCGAGTTCCGCGGCCTCGCGCTGGACCAGCTGGTGGAGGGCGCGCCGCGTGGCGAGCAGCGACTCGAGGTCGGCGGTGTCCTCCTTCTGGCCGTCGGAGTTCGTGAGGTAGTCGTACCAGGCGCGGAACTTCGTCAGGTACCAGTTATCCGAGGCGTCCTGCTGCCACCAGCCGTCGAAAATCGTCAGCTCGCGGCTGGGTGCCGTAGGCACCACCACCTTGAGCGCAACAGAGCCGTCCACGAAGAAGTGCGGCCGATCTGCGTAGTTATCTAACGCGGATTCGTCCAGGCCGTGCAAATAAATCAGCGTCCATCGTTGCGGCCCAGACGGTGGCCGGATGATGACGGCTGGCAGCAAATCCAGCGGACCAGTCTCCACTGTGATTTTTCTCCGCTTGTCTCTCGCGAGCCTGCAGCGTGAATGCGCAGTGACCGTGTACCTCTCCTCAGCCAGGGGGCCGCCGGGATCTCCCCGACGCCTCCTCTCCACACGGCAAGCGGCCACCTGACTGCCAAGCTTCCGCTGCACCTCGAAGCAGCCCGCGGCTGCCTGCACGAGCGCAAATTCGGCGGTGCAGCAGCGCCAAGAGATCTGCACCTCTGCCTGCGCCCCCTCGACCGGGGATGCCGAGTACCCCACGAGGTTAGTGGCCGACCACGAGCCACCCTTTGAGGGGTCCTGGAAGCGAAAACCGAGGCGCTGCTGCAAAGGTGGCAGCCGCGCCACCCACGCCAGCGCGAAGCCCAGTGCCTCGTCGGAAGCCGAGCCCCAGCTGGAGCAGGGCCCCTTCTCAGCATCGTTAGACCAAAGCCCAATCCCCCGCTTTGGCCCCGCTGTCCGACCTGTCCTCCTATGTGGGGATCGGTGCCCTCCACCCCCACCTCGAGGTTGCGGTAGGCTGGTGGCGCTGACGAGTACTGGCACGCTGAGGATGGGGATGACCAGAACTCCGACGTAGATATTTTTTCGCAGCGCGGCCCCCCGAAGTCTGGACCCCTTCCCCAAGACCGCCGTGTCATACCGAGCAATTGTTTGGCGGTCCCGCGGTCCGGTGATGGCCCAGGGCCCCTGGAGGCCGACAATGGGCAAAGACCTTCTAGCGTTTTTGTTTCGTTTACCGGGCGAGAGGAGAGGAGGTCTGTGCTTGGATCGTCGCAGGGATTGCTAAAGGGATAGGGGTGCTGGAAGTGGATGTGCAGGTTGGGTATTTCTGGCCTCATCTAGTTTAGAAGTGGGTTGCACATGCCCTTAAGGGTTTAGGGGGGGTCAGACCTGGTTTAGGTAGGCGGAGCCCATTTCTCGGAGGTATCTAACCACCCCAAACTACTCAGGGCACCTGTAGCCCACTTACAGGCTATGTTAGGCCATACATGTCCCATCTTAGCATCAACTTCTAACCCCCTTAAGCGAGATAGGTCAACTTCTAAACTCCCAAACCCCCAAACCGAGAGGTCTTTAGGTCGAGGATGGGGAGGAGAAGGAGGAGGAGGAGGTGGAGGAGGAGGAGGAGGAGAAGGCGGAGGAAGATGAGGATGAGGAGGATGATGATGATGATGATGAGGAGGAGGAGGAGCAGGAGCATGAGGAGGGGCGAGTTTGTTCTCCGCCGATAGAATCAGGGGGGGGATGCAAAGCTAAAGACCTCTCTCGCTTACCCCCTTACCACCCCCAGCTGTGATCCCCAGTGCAGAGTAGACTGCTCCGCCGTGCGGGGCTGGAAAATGACCCCCGCACGGTGGCGCGTCGGGGGAGAAAGGGCCGGGCGCTGCGCCCCCGTGCTCGATACCCCGCTCGGCACACGGGTGCGCGAACGTACGTGCCAGCGGCACCCGCGCCGCGCGCACGTCCGACCCCCCCCCCACACGCGCACGAGCCCGCGGCCCCCCCTGCTGGCTGCGCTTGCCGCGCCGCCGGCTCTGGCCCACCGCGCTTCGGAGGGTGGGGCTCACTTCGCTCGGGAGCTCCCTATCGAAGTGGACCCCACCCTCCCCCTCAGAGATCGTGGGGGGCAGGGGTGGGGCTCGCAGGTGGCCCTCTACGAGCGTCGACGTCCCGAGCCTCTGTCAGCCCCGGGGCCGCAGAGCGGAGCGACACGCTGAGGATGCGCTTGCACGGCGCAGCGTGTCGCCGGGGCCGCCGACCCCAGTGGCGGGTCTGACGATGCTGACCTTCAGGGCCACGAGCGCGGCGCGGAGCTGCGGCAGGGAGCACCTCGAGAGGAACAGACAACTGCATAAGCATAAGCTTTCGGAGGTCCGCACGGATTTCTTGGACCGGCGCCGGGGCCCCCTTCCCTGGCGCAAGGAGCGCGCCAGGGGCGGCGCCCGAGGCGCCACCAGGGGGGCCCCACCGCCGATCCAAGAGATCTTCGCGGAGCTCCGGGAAATCATGTTTCGTGCATTCATTCATCCTTTGAAGAACCCTTCTTGGCATGAAGGAAACGGGTCCTGAGGGAAACGGGTCCTGAACCCTGGCAGCTTCACCCAAGGCTTGTTCTTCGTCCTGAGCCGTTTTCTCAGATGCTCCTTCTGGGGACCTTCCTGGAGCCACTCGCTCCACTTGTGCCTCGAAGCTGCGTCGAACGTCAGTCGACCGGAGTCGACCTTGAGTCGAATCCGAGTCGAACCTGAATCGAACCCAAGTCGAACTGGTGTCGAACAGATCTGTCAGGTGGGCCCCAGGCAGGTCTGCACGGTTTCCCCCAGGGCCGTAGGCGACCCGAGGAGGAGGAGGAGGAGGAGGAGGAAGAGGAGGAGGAGGAGAGGAGGAGGAGGAGGAGGAAGAGGAGGAGGAGGAGGCGGAGGAGGAGGAGGAGGAGGAGGCGGAGGAGGAGGAGGAGGAGAAGGAGGAGGGACGGAAGAGGAGGAGGAGGAGGAGGAGGAGGAGGAGGAGGAGGAAGGAGGAGGGAGGAGAGAGGAGGAGCGGAGGAGGAGGCGGAGGAGGAGGAGGGCGAGGAGGAGGAGGAGGAGGGACGAGGATGAGGATGAGGAGGAGGAGGAGGAAAAGGAGGAAAAGGACGAGGAGGAGGGCGGGTCGCCTGAGCCCTTCGCAGAAACCCTCCGGGCAGGTCCCCCCAAGCGAGCATCTGAACTCCCAGGCAGGCCCCGGGGGCCCGCGGAGGGCCCCGGGAGGCCGTCGACGACGGCGAAGCAACCCGGGCCCGGCGCCAGGCCCGCGCGGAGCGGCCAGGTGACCTCCGCATGCGCCCGCCCTCTCCAAGGGGGGAGGGGGCAGGGCAGGAGGGGGAGGGGAGGGGGAGAAAGGGAGAGAGCAGAAGAGAAAAAGAGAGAGAGAGAGAGAGAGCGAGAGAGAGAGAGAGAGGGAGAGGAGAGGAGAGGAGAGGAGAAGGAGAAGTGGCCAGGAGGAGGGGGAGCGAGAGGAGGAGGGGAGCGAGGAGGCAGGGGAGGGAGGGGAGGGAGGAAGGGAAGGGGAAGGGCCAGAGTACACGGAAACCCAGGCCCCCTCGGGACTCGCCCCCTGCACGGAGAACCTCGCGGGGCACACGCCGCCGGCCGCGGCCGCGCCGCGCCGGCCGGGGCGGCGCAGCCGCCGCCAGAGACGCGGCAGCGCGGCCCGCAGCTCCGGGGCGGCGGCCGCGGCGCCCTGCGCCGCGGCGCCGGGCGCCGCGGCCGGTCCGCTCTTGCACCTCGGGTCGCCGGCCGCAGCAGGGGCGGCTGGCCCCCGGGGGGGGGAGCACCAAGCCAAGGGCAGGCCCTCGAGGGGCGGCAGCGATCGGGGGGGAGGGGGGGGGGCAGCTCGGGGGGGGGAGGTGGAAGGCAGCACGCCGGCATCGGTGATGCATCGCCCATAGATCGGCGATAGGCCCCCGATTGCAAATCCGCGCGTTCCTGGGCGGGGCGGGCTATCGGCCCCCTGTCGGCGATCAGTGGGCGATCGGGGGTGTATGCGGCCCCCCCCCCCCCTCAGCCTAGATCCCCCCCCTATCGCTGCCCCTGATGATGAAGAAGCGGATCTCCCAAGAAACCTGGGCCAGCCTTCGCTCAGCATCCTGTGCCAACGCTGGGCCAGCCTCGCGCGAGCTGCACTGTGCGCATTATTTGCGGGGGACTATTCAGTGCGGGCGCGGCCGCAAGAAACTCTCGCTAGAAAGCCAACCCTCAGAATCCGTGCGCGAGGTACACCTGAAGGGAAACCCAGAGCACCCTGAACGCAGCAGCTCCCTCAACGGCTGCGGGAAGTCACCGCGCAGCGCGAGGAGCGAAGAAACCCAGGATACCCTGACGAAAAGCATATGGTTTCTTGATGCGCGCTCCTACTGTAAGAGACTGGGCCAGACCCACAGGCCGCGGAAGAACCGCTGGCTCAAGGCGAACACGAGAATTGTCCTGACGATCGGCGCAGCTGCACACCCATCCCGGGAGGCGAGGCTCCCCGGGCTCTCCGCCTGCTGCCCCTCGCCCACACGCAGCGGAGAAGGAAAAAGGAGGAGGAAGGATGATGATGAGGAGGAGGAGGCGGAGGAGGAGGAGGAGGAGGAGGAGAACGAGGAGGAGGAGAAGGAGGAGGAGGAGGAGGAGGAGGAGGGAGGAGGAGGAGGAGGCGGAGGAGGAGGAGGAGAAGGAGGAGGAGGAGAAGGGAGGAGGAGGAGGAGGAGGAGGGAGGAGGGGGGGGGAGGAGGAGGAGGAGGGAGGAGGAGGAGGGAGGAGGGAGGAGGGAGGAGGGAGGAGGAGGAGGAGGAGGAGGAGGAGGAGGAGGAGGAGGAGGAGGAGGAGGAGGAGGAGGAGGAGGAGGAGGAGGAGGAGGAGAGGAGGAGGAGGAGGAGGAGCAGGAGGAGGAGGAGGAGGAGGAGGAGGAGGAGGAGGAGGAGGAGGAGGAGGGGGGCTCTGGTCGCCCACCTCGCCGGCGAGGCTCCCTGGCCGAATGCGCGGGATGCCCGCCCCTGGGGCGGTCCACCCGCTCGCAGACGTCCTCTGGCGTGAGTTTGTCCACCCCGCGGCCCCAGGGCTCCAGCGCACGGGCAGACTACCCGAACACTCGCACACTTCGGGGGCGCGCAGACATGGATTAGCGATCCATGGGCGTGGCGCGCGGTCGCCAAATCCACGGGTCGGGGGAGGTGCCCTCCCCACAATGCGACCGGTGCCGCCTCGTCCGGCGGCGGAAATCCGCGATTTCCCATGGAAGGCGGGACCCGTCGCCAATCCCCGCCCCCCTGATCCATGTTTGCGATCGCCTGAACATTGTCTGTCGGCGGCGAGGGGCAGAGTTGGCTGCGGCAGGGAGCTAATAATTCGACGGGGGCACCGAAGTGAGCGCAGTGCCCAGCGTGCAGGAGAGAGGGCCAAGGGGCGGCGAGCGGTCGAGGGGGAGGGAAAGAACATGGGCGGCGCGCACAAAGGGGGGTGGAGGGAGGGGGGAGGGCTTCTTAGAAGGAGGCTGCTTCTTAGAAGGCGCCCCGGCCTTACGTCTGTAGACGAGGCCCGTGCCGTCAAAGCAGCTCCCCCCTTTCCCCACCCCCCTCTGCGCGTGACGGTTTGGGGGCTCGGATCTGTTTGTCCACCCGAGCCCTCTCCAGTGCCGCACCCTCGATCGTAACGTGGGGGGTCCCGGGAGGGCATCTTGTGCCGCAGGGTTCGAACTTAACCTCTAGAAGTCTTTAGTTTTGGACCTCCCTGGAGCTCTCGGCGGAGAAGAGACTGGCCACTCGCCCTCCCTCCTCCCTCCCTCCTCCCTCCCTCCTCCTCCTCCTCCTCCTCCTCCTCCTCCTCCCCCTCCTCCTCCTCTTGCTTCTCCCCTTGCTAGGATCAAGAAGCTTTCTTGCAAACGCTGGCGAGGCATAACTCAATGAAAGCTGAGGGGACGAGAGGGAGGGGGAGGAGGAGGAGAAGGAGGAGGAGGAGGAGGAGGAGGAGGAGCAGGAGGAGGAGGAGGAGGAGGAGGAGGAGGAGGAGGAGGGAGGAGGGAGGAGGGAGGAGGGAGGAGGGAGGAGGAGGAGGAGGGCATCTTGTGCCGCAGGGTTCAAACCTATCGCCCATGTGCGGTCCCGCCCCCCTCCCCGGTGGTGCAGCCTCCCGCCCCAGCTCCGAGCCTGCTGGCCCCTGGGGCCCGACCCCGGGCCCCCCGGGGGGGGGGGGGGCGCGACGCCCGAGGAAGCGCGGCGGGCCCGCACGGCATCACGTCGTCGGCGAGCCGGGCTTGCCGACGAGAGCCAGAGGAGGAAGAGGACGAAGAGCCAGAGGAGGAGGAGGAGGAGGAGGAGGAGGAGGAGGAGGCGTCGGGGAGTCGGGCGCGAGGCGAGACCGAGTGGAAGGGGCCCTGGGAGACACCAATAACTACACACAAATAACAGGATCCCCCACATTGTCCCAAATCTTCTGGGTTTTTGTCTCCCCCCCCCCCCCCTTCCCCTATTTTCCCCCATGTTCGGGGGAACCGACGATTCATTGTGTCTGTGTGTTTCTTTCCCTCCTGACACATCGTCGGAGATCCGGGCTTGCCTAGAGGCCTCCCAGGTGCGGCCCGAGCAGATGGGGTCGGAGGATCGCGCCGAATCGCCAATGCACTGGCGATGCATCGGCGATGCACCGGCGACGTCGACGTGGAGAAAACCGGGCCCCACAACGAGCCGCACCGCCGATGCATCGGCGGTGCGGCGCGATCTGTCGACCCCATCCAGTCGGACCCCATTCGGGAGGCCCAGGTTTGGCTACACGCAAGAGTGGCCCTCGGCAAGAGCGACCTTTTAGTGCGCAGACGGAGGGGGCGCAAGGTGGACAGGTCCAGTCGCGCAAACAGCCACCGTCGCATCGCGCTCAGCGATCGGGGGGGCTCCGGCGAGCCCGCACCGACGGAGGAGGAGCACAACACAAACATAAACTTTTGGAGGTCCGCGCGGCCTTCTTGGCCCGCCGGAAGTTTCTGCTTATGCCGTCTCTTCTGCTTCGGACTGGATGTCGCTCTGGCCAAGGGTCACTCCTAGAGTGGTTTGAGCAGGGGCCGACCGCCCCGGCATTCCTATAGGCCTACCCTGGAATGCTCTTACCCCAACATGCACGACGAACACAAGACATGTTCTTAGATGATAGGCCCGCCGTGTTAAAAACAGGACAGACCCAGCCAGAAATGCTCTGAGAACATGTCGTGCGGAGCACAAACGGTTCTTGGCACATTCTTCGGTAGGCCAATAAGCAAGCCAGGACGCTTCGCCACTGCCTGAGTGTTTGAAGGGCCCTGGGACACACAAATAATACACACAAATAACACGATTCACTGTATGTTTCAATAGTTATTTGGACTTTCGTCTTCCCCCCCCACTTCCCAGATTTTCCCATATTTTCCGGGGAATCGACGATTACTTGTGTCTGACTGTGTGTTTTTTTCCTAACTAGGCTCTGTCTAGAAGGGTTCTTACTGTCTTAGCTTAAAAGGGGCCGGGCACCGGGCA